TAGAAAACTTTTAAGGCAGCATTAATTCCACCTCATAACTCAAGAATTGCCAAGTTTCATCTTTTGTATCATCTTTAATCTCACATTTTTGAGTGTCGGTTACGCTGTGTCTGTTACGTAACCGACACAATTTGGCAGGGCCGCCATGTTTGCGTGGACCTCCAGCAGTCCCGCGGGAAGCGCTGATACCTGATTCAATGGCTTGTTTATCAATCAATTTACTTTGCACTGAATCAAAATAGAGCGTGCCAAAGCTGGAAAAAGGAAGTTTAATACCTTTAGAATGAGGTAATGAAATCCTGTTAAAATTGGTGCACTTTTATTTCTCAGGTATTTCATATTTTAACTATTCCTGTTATCGTGAAATCACCCTTAAGTATTCTCTATTGAAATTTTGTGTAAATTTTCTTCACACCATCAAGATTGTTTTCTGAAAATTTCATGGGATAATCTCTATTAGTTCTCTTTAAAAAAATAGTATAAAAAGAGAGCAGAAATTTTGAGACGTTGCAATGGAGATATACAATTTCCAACTTTCGCTATAGACATGCATCATTGCCATACATTTGAGATGAAAAACAAGGGCTAAAATAATTTTCTGGCTTCATTCTATCACTCATTATGGCTCCTTCCCCCATGTATTACAGAAAGGGCCCTAATGCTCTTCCTTCAAGTGTCATTATTTACAACCCAGAAAGAGTATCATGTAAAAATTTTTTATGGAAATTGTCAGTCTACTTGGGGGACAAAAGAAAACCTCGAAAATTGTTTTTCCAAAAGCTTATAGTTTACTCAAATCAGTTTTTTGCATTTTCTGAACAGTTAACATTTCTGCAATAGTGCCCTTTCTGCAATATGTGATTCAGTTGTGAAAGCGAGTTTTGGGGAGGAGTTTTAGCAATGATTACGAAACAAAAGTTTCCTTTTGAGTTTTTGATTTATCAGCGTGAATTTGGTTCGGTAATACCTGGACAAAAGTGGTCCCACAGTGCACACAGTTTTGATGAACGGTGAAAAGATTTTTCATTAACTCAGCAGGACAATACACCCATCCGACTTTCAAACCAGTCGCACTGAATATTTTACCAGCTGAGCCTATGGTGATCGTCCTATCCCACATTCCCTCTAGTGTTGCTGTAACATTTCACACGTTCAGAATTAGTTTCTCGTTTAATTACTTTTATCACTTTAGGTACTGTGTAAAGGGATATTTTTAATTTTTTCAAGTGTCGAAGTTCATGAATTACGAAACACAAAGTAATGAAATTCTTTACTGCTTTTACCCTGTCATTCATCCCTTTTAGCGCTTATTGAGGCGCATACAAATTGCTCCTTGTTATTGTTAATGACCGTTTAATGTTATGCCACGACAATAAATCACAACGTGCTACCAATCAGCCACGCACAATACTATCCCTGAAAATCTAAAAAAAAATTAGTATGTGTGATCGTCCGCAGAGACTGGGACCCCAAGGAAAACGCGAGAGCCAATTTTTCAAAGGATCTATTTTTGCCCCTTCACGGCAACACTCTATCATACCGAAGAACAAGTTGCAAGGAAGTTCAATAATTTTGATTAAAGAGTGCAGATGCATAAAATCGAACAATTTTGGGCAAAGGGACGTACTTCGCTCAAAGAGACTTCTTAAACTTTTTCTAAGGACCTCGTCTTTCAACTCGCAACCTCTATAACCCCTTTGAACCTTCCCCTCTCCCCCTTTGAACTTTCATAAATACGTTTTAGTTAGATTTTTCTGTAAATTTTGATCGTGCCAAAATATTTTTAGAACACTCATTTAAAAGAACTAACATCTCAACCATTAGCTTCTTGTTGTTAAAGTCTCTTCTTCCTTGGACGACCACATTCCAACTGCGGTTCAGTATACCTGAACCAAAGTAACGCCACAGCGAGCAATGTTCTGATGAACTACAAGCAGACTCTCCATTAATCTGGCAGGACAATAAGCCCATCCTATTTTCAAACCGGTCGCACTGAGTATTTTACCGGCCGATCCTATGGTGATGGTTCGTTCCCACATCCCTGGTAAAGAAGCTATAAAATGTTGAGAAATATGTGTTACAGAAAAGTTTGATTCTTTCGGAGTTGATAGCACTACTTAAATTACGAATCCCAGAGTCAGAGCACCTACAATATTTTCCACTTTCTAAGTGCACCACAGCACATACATAATAGCAGCAGACTTTGTAGGAACGATATCGAGGTGCAACTTCCAAACCACGTATTTGAATTTGCGATGTTGCAGATTTCCTGTCATTTTTTTTCAAATGAAGAACTAATCAACGTCAATTTTTAAAACTCTCCGTGATTTTTCTTTTCGAAGCAAAGAAAATTCTGTAACAACTTCAAGGAATGATGTTGATGCGTTCTCCTTCAAAAAAATGAGGTAGGAGCGGAGATTTTTTTTAAAAAAAACCGCAAAATAGATGCGCAGTTTAGGAGTTTGCCATCGATATATAATCCACTTGAGCGCTGGAGTTTTGGAAGTATCATAAACTAAATAGTTGCTTACCCACAATGAATTCACTCTGTGCAAGGCTCAAAATGTTCTATTTGCACAAAAATTGGTGCAAAGTTATATATTTTTTTCATAACCAGGAAAATGATTAATCATGGGGTCATTTGGTTTGACTGAGTATTACTCTTCGTACAGAGACCTTGGCCAGAAAATCGTGTGTTTTGATCATTCAAATGCCACTTAATTCAAGTTTAACATTAATTAAATAAATAAATAAAAATAAAAAAATCACTTACCCATCCTAATGTGTTTTGCAGGTTTGTAGACGAGCCATTCGTATACTTCGTCAGATATACATATCACATCATGCTTCTTGCATAAATCAGCGATTAACTGAAGTTCATCATAGGTAAATACTTTGCCCAAAGGGTTATGTGGTGTGTTCAGAATAAATAATTTGGTTCTCCTGTTGAATGCTCTCGCCAATTCGTCAGGATCTAGGACCCAGTCTTTTGAGCTTGCATAGTTAGGGTTGCTACCTTTCTGTGTAAAATCAAAATGATGACAGAAAATTTAGCCAACATTTTTGAAGCGTTATTATTATTGACGTATTTTTTATTGTCGAGTATGTGTTATTAAAACAACGGGTCATAAAAATTGTAATGATCACTCATTCTGGACGATTTAAATTCATAAGTTGACTGCCCTTTTGGGTCCTAAGAGCTTCATGGCGCAGCTCCCAAAATTACAGACATGTCTGTACTCTCCCATAGAGTAATAAAAATATAGAGTCGTAATGTAAAAGGGAGAGCTGGCGTCACTTTTAAGCATTTTCCAGGTCCCGAATTCGGAATTCCAAGACTTCTAGGCCGGGTCACTTTTTCGATACATGATCGATTATTGTTTGTGATACACGGGACCACGTATCCCAAACCGCCATTTTGGATCGAATGTGTATCGAAAAAGTGACCCGAGCTCGGCGCACACTGAGCTCGGAACTCGTCGAGCAGAACATGGTCCCAGCTCTCCCATTTATGATACGACTCTATGTACTCTATGCACTGAAAAAAAATTCTCGGCGTTTTTACCAAGGTTCGTTGGTACCTTTACCATCTCACTTTTTTTACCAATTATTGGTAATTTTACCAAGACAGACTGGTAAGCTTACCTAAAAACGGTATTTTTACTGTTTTTTTCAGGTAAGAATACCATTTTTATTGGTAATCAATTCCCGGTAACTTTGCCATTTTATCTAGGTAATTCTACCACAGTCGATAAAAAATATTGGCGTTTTTACCAAGGTCCAGTAAAGAGCGACGCCAAGAATGGCACAATTTGGGCCAGAAGAAATTTTTCTGAAACCGGGCCCAAACGATACCTTATGATACCCTAAAACTCTGGTAAAAATTTTAGCTTGAGTATACGCACCGTTTTTGAGAAATGGGGGGGGCAAAGTTGCCAAATCGCCATCATTCTGGACAGCATTTTTACAGCAAAAAGACGGGAAAAATGGACGAAAAAGTTACACTATTGATGAGCTTGGGGCTGTAAATGTTCTTATTGAGCCCCCGTGCATGTAACTGTGTTCAGTTTCAAAAATTTTGGACGTACAGTGGTCCGAAATGGGGAGAAATCGTGGACAGATAAGGATTCTTTGTCAAACTTTTTAAAAATGGAAGTAAAATTGTTGGTCTATTGCAGAGATCATGTGAAACAATGTTCTTATCGGTCTTCAATGCATTCAATTGAGTTCAGTTTATCAAATTTTCATCGCACAATAGTCCAAAATGGGAAATCAGTGGACAAATTAAGATCTTCTGCCTAACTTTTTAAAAATGATGTACGACTATTGGTCCCCTGCAGAGATCATGGCGAACAATGTTCTTATCAATGCATTCAATTGAGCTCAGTTTAACAAATGTTCATCGCACAATGGTCCAAAATGGAAAATTAGTGGACAAATTAAGATCTTCTGTTGAAATTTTTGAAAAATAACATGAAACTATAAGGTTTTTCACTAGATTCGAAAGGTGTAAATTCAAAATAAGTTAGTAGCCAATAAAAGCTATCCATGTTTACTGTTTTGAACTGAACAAATGAGGTCTGGAAACGGTAATTCAGGAGGAACTTAGCTTTTGGATCCTTAAAATCCGGCAAACTGGGTGGTTTTTGTCCTAGTTAGTTGTCAGAGAATAATTGTAGTTAGAATAATACTTTACAATAAATCCTTTCTAAGGATTTAGGAAAGGTTAGGTTAGGTTAGGTTAGGTTAAGTTAGATTTCAACAGAAGATCTTAATTTGTCCACTGATTTCCCATTTTGAACCATTGTGCGATGAAAATTTGATAAACTGAACCCAATTGAATGCATTGAAAAGAACATTGTTCGCCATGATCTCTGCAGGGGACCAATAGTCGTACATCATTTTTAAAAAGTTAGGCAGAAGATCTTAATTTGTCCACTGATTTCCCATTTTGGACCATTGTGCGATGAAAATTTGATAAACTGAACTCAATTGAATGCATTGAAGACCCATAAGAACATTGTTTCACATGATCTCTGCAATAGACCAACAATTTTACTTCCATTTTTAAAAAGTTTGACAAAGAATCCTTATCTGTCCACGATTTCTCCCCATTTCGGACCACTGTACGTCCAAAATTTTTGAAACTGAACACAGTTACATGCACGGGGGCTCAATAAGAACATTTACAGCCCCAAACTCATCAATAGTGTAACTTTTTCGTCCATTTTTCCCGTCTTTTTGCTGTAAAAATGCTGTCCAGAATGATGGCGATTTGGCAACTTTGCCCCCCCCCCCATTTCTCAAAAACGGTGCGTATACTCAAGCTAAAATTTTTACCAGAGTTTTAGGGTATCATAAGGTATCGTTTGGGCCCGGTTTCAGAAAAATTTCTTCTGGCCCAAATTGTGCCAAAAAACGGTCGTTTTTGGCGTCGCTCTTTACCGAGAAAGTTCAATAATTTTACCAAGATTTCTCGGTAAAATTACCAATTCCATAAATGGTAATTTTACCAAGAAAAAACTGGGATCAATTAATAGAACCCTGAATTCGTGGTAATTTTACCCTTTTCTTAGTAAATACACCGAGATTTTTTTTCAGTGTGTACTCTCCCCATACAGGAAATCCATGGTCAAAAGTGTACGTACATTTCTAAGAGGAACGAAAATCGGAGTGGCGCCCGTAGAAACCGTCATGGGCACGTAACAATCGAAGTAAGGTTCGACAATGATGACTTCATCTCCAGGACCAGCGAATCCGTGGATAGCACAGAAGAGCGCCTCGTAGCCACCAATGGTAGCTAGTACCTCCGACTGCGGGTCTATTTTTCTTCCAAGCAACTTCCCGTAGAGCTCGCTGATGGCCTTAACTAGACGAGGATGACCCTGTGAAAATTTTCATTGCAGAAATAGTCTCAAATTACCGCTACAGAGAATACGAAATTTAGAGTACCTATATAGGGAGAGTATGGACATGTCGAAAATTTTGAGGTTGGGTGATGGTGCTCTTAGACCCCAAAAGGGTAGGCAGTCTATGAATTCAAATTATCCAGAGTGATTTATAATCACAATCGTTGGGAACTGTGGTTGGTAAAGCACGTACTTGACTTTGGTTTTTGCATAAACTTACTCATTTTTGCGGAAGAATACTTACTTATGAATTTTCATGTCCATTTTCGTTTGATATTAGAGTCTAATGATTGCCAGTGACATTTTTCGTTTTCTAAGGTTACCTACCCTTTTGGGCCCTAAGAGCTACATAATTCGGGTTGTCCATACTCTCCCTATATAGGTACTCTAACAAAATTGAGCCTACCACAATGCATTTTCCTTGTCGAAATTTTACTTGGAGTACGATGACTTTTCAATGACTTATGATGGGTGGTTTCACGATGACTGGGATAGTTTTGTCACCGTAACAGACAGCACACTTTTCGGTTATATTTTTAGTAGAGATGATAATCACTCGAATTTTTTTCGCACTAATCCTCAAAGGGTTACGTATTATAACGCTTTCTAATGATTTATTGCGCTACTTCTCAATTAATATTATGTAAATTCCGAAAATGGGCTGTCTGTTACGCGGTAAAAAGTCACCGTAACAGACAGCACATTTTCGGACATTCATATATTAAAATTGATGAATGGAGCGATAAATCTTTGAAAAGCGCTTTAACACGCAGCCTTGTGTAGATTAATGCAAAAAAAAATCGAGTGATCATCATTAATACTAAAAATATAATCGAAAAATGTATTGTCTGTTACGGCGACAAAACTATTCCAGTTATCGTGAAACCACCCTTATGCTGATTATCGCCCTGGTAAAAATTGGCAGTAGAATGTGAGCTCCAAAATACTATAGACAAAGCCGGCTGTAAGATTTCCAATAGCATCTGTAGCCGGCTGTATAATTTATTATATTCTTTTATAGTCGATGGCGATTAAGCAACAGCCAGACGATAAAGTTTATGCTAAACGTTACTAATTACGGATACTAGGACTTAGTGAGTTTTTTGACTACCGCGATCTTTTTGTGCCGTAGTATCTTGATTTATTTTGCGAGGAAAGCTTCGTACTTTTGAAGGATGCCTGTCATTCTTAATATGTTGGAGCGCGTTCAATTTCTTATGATACTGTGCAATACCTCTGGTGTAAAATAGTTGCTTCAGACGCCGTGGCACGCTGCGGCGCGGCGGGCGCGCAGAGAGCGCGAAACGCGCATTGGCGCCTACAAACCTAACAGGGATACTTCACGCGTTGCGCAATGCGTGAAGTATCCCTGTTAGGTTTGTAGGCACCAGTGCGTCGCCGCTCCGCTTTGAGTTAGGCTGTAACATTTAATCTCGCGGAGTCAGCGTTTTTCAACTCATGATTTTGAAATGTTTGCACACTCTGTATGGACTATTGTCATGGGAACGGAGTTCCCCATGATATTAGAATCGTTCCGTTGCTTTCGCTATGGGATTCCCTATACCTCTGCGACCTTGAGCGTTTCGCCCAGTCTCCGATTTTTGGTTGATTTTCCGATGTATCAAAAACCGTTGTATTTTTTAGCCAATCATGTCTCTACGTCAAGTTGTGTTGATTGCTAAAATTCGCTTTCAGCGAGTTTTTTTCCACCTTGAGATGTCGTGTCTGACTGGTAAATCTGCGCAGAACCACGAAGTTCCGTTTTTAGGCAAATTCTTTTTTTTGGGAGGTTCTGATTGGTTATTTTTCGCCATCAGTTTTCTGTTCGTTGGTGCAAAAGATCGCCTACCTCGGTGTTCTTGAGAAGCCGCCATTATCCCACCTCAAATTTGAAAAATAGAAGTAAAGAAATAATAACCATCGTACAAGGTGGAAAATTGTTCTGGAGGACTCGTTACGGATAAAGAAGTCAAAATCAGAGCTCGATTGATTGATTTAATTCATGGATACGCAAATATTGCCTTAGCTCAACTGCCGCGATCGGAATGCGTGCTGGCATGAACCTCGAGACGCATTAAAACAGTGCGAACCATGGCTCCTACAGCAAAACAGCAATGCGCTTCATATCATCCCAAAAGCAGTCAAGGTCTCTTGTGATAAGTCCCGCCCATTGCCCGAGTCTTTTGTATGCTATTTTTACTCTCGCCCACGTGGATCCATTATAGCCTAGTTGACTAAACCGCCTCGTATTTTTGATTCGGTGCGGGCACCCGGCGATCGGGAGTTCGATACCCGACGATGGGAACTACTTTTTAATGGTTGTATTGAATGTTTTAGACTAATCATCAAAAAATAATTAATAGTAGATGATAAATGTACGAACATTTTCTCGTGAGTTAATATGTTAAACAAAAATACTGGAATATACCTCCTTCATATAATCAGCCACATGTTCCCCCAAATTAATGACGTTATTTTCTTTTTTCAATAAAGTTAATTTGCATTCAACGTTCGTAAGTTAAGCAAAAAGTACCTATTGATACAAATAGAAAGACATGAAAATAGTATGTCTAACATTTCAGTTGTTTTTTTTTTTTTATTTATTTTTTGTTTTTTTGTTTTTTCAATAAAACAAATTGACTGGGACTAGAATCATCGTATCTCTGAAGACAAAAGCTAAGTTTTTTGATACAGAAATACTAATATATTCATCCTTTATATAATCAGGGAGATGTTGACCCAAATATTGATGTATATTTTCTCTGTTCGCCCAAATTAATGATGGTATTTTCTTTTTTCAATAAAATTAATTTACATTCCACGTTCTTAAAGCAATATTTTCTCCAAAATTCAGCAAAAAATAACAATTTATACCTACGCAAAAAGTAAATAAATAAATAAAGCAATGACATGAAAGTAGTATAGGTAGTACACATCTAACATTTCGGTTACATCTATTTGAATGAAAAAAATGGCAACTTAGGAAGCACATAGGTCACTTATCGACGGTGAAACTACCAAACCACGTATCTCGGTTTGCGACGTCGCAGACTTCCTGTCATACTTTATTTTTTAAATGAAAAGCTACTTAACGTCCAGTCTTGAAAATTTCCGTGATTTTTCCTCTTCGTGCGGAGAAAATTCTGTGAAAATTTCAAGGAATGATATTGATTTGGTCTACTTCAAAAAAATAAAATGTGAGCGGAGATTTTTAAACACCGCAAACGAGATACGTGGTTTGGTAGTTTCACCGTCGTTATGATGCGTATTCGGGCATATGCGTAGAGTAAAAATATCATACTTTACGCCGAAAAAACGAAACTGAAAGTTAAATGCGTTAACTTCCAAAAACCATACATAATCCAACGAAAATAAATAATTGGTAAATAACAGCTTTCTTGTATGCAAAGAAAAAAAATTAAAAATGTTAAAAAAGAGATGTCGACACAAAATTACATAGCCCCTTCAATTCTGAAGATACTACAAACGAACTGTACCTTAAAATTTTCATATCCCAGAAGCAAAAGTTCCCATGACGAATATTGCTATCGCTAGCGATTGCAAAAACCAACTTGTTCTCATTTTAATTGATGAAAAAAAAAATGTTTTAAAGGAAAATGTAATGTGTGTTTTGTAAATATTAAGGTAGTTCCGTATCAAACTTAATGATTTCCAAAGCACACGAATTTCTACACAATATCTTTTAGCCTTTTATAGCCAAATAAAGTGTAAAGCCCGGCGATAGGAACTATAGCCCGACTGTATACTTTTTTATAGCTTCGTATAGCCCGGCTACATGATTTGCTCCACTTTCTGCAGTCAGCTATATGATTTTCAATAGCCTTCTTTAGTCGGCTATAAGAACTCCTATGGTATTTTGAAACGCAGTTCCTATCGCCAATTTTTACCAGGGCGATATTCAAAATGCGAGACCACTTATCTCCTTGTGCGACGCGTTGTAGACCTCCGGTCACACTTTATTTTTTCCTAGAAAAACTAGTCAACGTAATTTGTTGGAAACTTTCTTGATTTTTCTGCTCTGTTAGTAGAAACTTCTGTAAAAACTTCAAGTTATAAAGTTGACTTGATCTTCATCGAAAAAAAAACTAGGAGCACTTCAGCCATCATCATAGTTTTTTTCTTGATCGGGAAGTTTGAATTTAAGTACTACAACACAACGCAAAAATCGTGTTTGAGAAAGCGACATGCTTCCCACGTGCCCATGGTAGCACGGTGTGACAAAAATATTAAAATAATGTTGCGATTTAATGGAATAAAATGGGTATTTTTGAACCATGAAATCGCAATATGTTGCATCATTTGGTCAATAAATGCCGATTTGAAACAAACAACATAGTGAGTTCAATGTTCAAAAAAGGTAGGCATTTTGCCATGCAAAAAAATTTGCAACTCATTTCAATGAAATTGAAATAAGAAGAACCCCTTCAATTAGTGAATTGGCAACATACGCTACACTGCAGTGCAATAGAAATCTCATACTATGTAATTGCAGTTAAGTCGGCCTCCAGTGCTGTAGAGCTGCCGTGCTAAGGATGAATCTTCAGGCGTTGCCAAATTTCCTTTGATAAAACACGTATTTCCTGGTAAACTTATGAATAGTTTCCTTCCAATGTTTCAGATACTTTTGTGCGCAATTTTACCTCAAGTTCCTGAAATTGTCAAGGAAAAATATTCATAACCTATACCGCAAAAATAAACATTTTATCGAAGGAAATTTGGCAACTCTCGAATGTTCGTACGGCGTTCTTCCTTAGCACGGCAGTGTAGTGGTTGGTGGTTGTAGCGCTTGGTCTTGAAATTTTCCACACAAACGGAACCGTAAATGGAGATTCCCAAAGCCGCCACTGACTCGATTTTACCAAGGATGTGAGTTAAGCACATTTTTGCTCTGGTCTACTTACTGATATAGACTGATGATAAATTTTTCCCATGACGGACAAACTCCTGCATAATATCTTCATGGAAACGATAGCGGAGTTTAAGTCTTTGACCAGACTGAATTGAACGTAAAGGATTAAAATAAAAAAAAATAATTTTTTTTTAAAAAAAAATATAAAAACCTGAGTTAAGGTGATTCGATGGACGCCATATTTTGTGTCAGAAGGGCATGCGATATACGCATCAATTGGTTCCATTTTTCAGCTACTCTTCATTTTTCTCCAATTTTGAGATCGCAGCTCTGTTGTCAGGAGATTAAAACAGTCACTTATCAATTTTAACAAAGAAATTCAACTTATTAAAGGCGTGGTTTTTTTAGAGAGAAAACATCGCATTCGAGTGCAGTTTCTATATCAAAATCGAATGCGATGCTTTCTCCCTAAAAAAAACTACGCCTTTATTACGTTGAATTTCTTTGTTAAAATTGGTAAGTGAGTGCTTTAGTCTCCTGACAACAGAATTGCGATCTCAAAATTAGAGAAAAATGACGAGTAGCTGAAAACATGGAACCAATTGATGGGATATATCGCATGCCGTTCTGACACAAAATATGCCGTCCATCGAATCACCTTAAGATTTTTAATTATACTTACAAAGCCACGTGTGTATTGATACATAAGATGATCCGACTCTTTGTCGACGACGTCAGTGATATAATTTGTTAAATACTCCGGAAAAGCTGGAAAGTCTGGAAATCCTGAGCTCAAATTACATTCCGGCTTGTATTCCATCGCCAACTGTCGATACTCGATCCTTCAAGAGGAGAATCAGATGACAAGCATACGCCATTACGGGTATCATTAACTTTAATGAGTTGAAAGATACCATCAACGAAAAATCATCTACTAAAAAGAATGCGCATTATAAAATACCAACTCTAAAATTTGATTCAAGTTTTCAAAGATTGATTAGAGTGTATTGAAGATTTCAAAGTCGAATAGCAATGCTATGTGCGTAGGTATATCGTTTGAGAGATGCGGCAAGCCTTAACTACAATTAGCGGAAATTCAAAAGGATTTCAAAGGTAATTGTGAACGGGTGTGTGCAAACGGACCTTATGTCCTCTTGAAAGAAAATTTTCCCCAAACATTTTGCAAAAGCTGAAAAAATTTTTTCGACAAGCTTAAGCTTTTTGTCTCGGGACTTCAGTCCTTCAATTTTTGAGCTCTCAGAGTCAAACTTGCGCTAAAATTTCCAGTATCCACTGCGTACATTAAAATATTCTATTTTAATGTACCTTCTTAAGAAATGATGAGGAAAATTGCTCCCGAGGATCCGATATCCCTTTTCACAGATCCTGTGAGAACTGAAAGTTATTTGCTTCTTACATATTATATGGACCGCGTTTAACAGAAACCAGCCACATCAGCTATTGCCAAATGTAACTGGGCAATTTAATTTTTTACGAGAGAACGTTTGTGGATTCCTTTGAAAATTTTGAGGTTTTTGCCTAGTACTATGAGGAAAATTAACTGAGATTTCCACGAAAATCCGAAAAACTGTTTCGATAAAAACATTTAAAATGCCCAATTAAATTTGGCAATAGCTGATGTGGCTTGGTTCCATTCTGTTTGACGCGGTTCATATTATATTCATAAAATCTGAATTAACCGTGAGGATATATTTTACAGTCAAAATATTCAATTCAATCAATAAGCATATGCTTATGGAACCCGATTTCGATGACTCGTAAACATTGAAGTATGATATTTCACGCGTATATGAAATGTAAACCTTTGCTTCACCAAAGTATTGAAGCATATTATTTCGGTAGAAAACAAGGCGGCGTGAGTGCAGAAATCGTAGTTTTTTCCCGATAAAGGAGGTTACTAAATTGTTAAAACGACCCCACACTATTAAAGAATACATATAACAATGAATTAAAATGTAGCGTCTATACTTACCACACACAGTATTCAGTGCCTTCATATCTTTTCGGAAGTCTAAATTTATTATCCATTATAATGACCAGGAGGTAATCGACGGTTTGGATAAAATTAATAAATCAAATGTCTTACTAGTTCAGAATCTGAAAATAAAAAGTATTATACACGTATTGATTCTTTGATTTCTAATGAGTGATATATGGATAACATAGCCATTTACCACCAGGATTTTGTCAAAAAATACTCGACATTGAAATGTAAATTAATGAATCAATTAATTACATATAAGCGGATACTTAAAAAAGAAAAAATCATTGATGGCTCTAAAATTCTATCAATTATTCCTATTGTCCATTGGCACCATGGTCTTTACCTTATTTAAAAAAATGATGGGTCTTGCTTTAGAGAACTTAGTTCTCTGACAATTAAACTTCAAAGAAAAGTATAAGAAATTCTCAAATTTCGCACCTATAAGTTTAAAGATATACATTTTTAGTGTTCCAACAGTGCGGTTATAGACACTTATGATGAACTCACAAAAATATAAGTGAAATTTATCGCTTTTTAGCTGTATGGATGGTGCCTTAAACAGAGGAGAATTTGTATGCCAAATGAATAATTCGAGGGAGGTAGCTCATACGAGTATATCGACGGTGAAACTACCAAACCACGTATCTCGGTTTGCGACGTTGCAGACTTCCTGCCATACTTTATTTTTTAAATGAAAAACTACTTAACGTCCAGTCTTGAAAATTTCTGTGATTTTTCCTCTTCGTGCAGAGAAAATTTTGTGAAAATTTCAAGGAATGATATTGATTTGGTCTCCTTCAAAAAAATAAAATGTGAGCGTAAATTTTTAAACACCGCAAACGAGATACGTGGTTTGGGAGTTTCACCGTCGATATGTGCTATAGCGCCAAAAAGGTAATGCGAATGACCTTAAAAAATCACAGCAGTGTTGCAAATATTTGCGAATATCTTATATTAATATATTTATTTGCAAATATATAAAGGACCTCTTATAACCATCTAACCACGTCGTGAATTTTTGAATATGTTTTCGTACTACATTGCAGTGCAAGGGACAAAGTTGTGAACCTCGCAGATGCATGCGAACATGAGAATAGTCTGTAGTATGGCTTACCGAAGTTAAAGAAAAATAAATTTTAAAAAATAACGTAATATAAACAAAAAATGACAAAACTTCGTGACTGAAAAAACCCCCAACGGTAACACTTCAACACCATCAACAACTGACTCTGTCAGGTTTAAACACAAGTACCCACTTCAAACGACTAAAACTTCATTTTGCTGCCGATTCACAGTTATCTGAGAGAGCTATCGGTGAGTATACATACATAAACGAACGGTTATTGAATCGTATTTTTTAAAAGCGTCTAAGTAACAGCTATCTTTTGGGCTTCCTTTAGCTCATCTCAAAAAATTCCAGGGATCATGAGCTCTTAGCGCTTAGTTGATTCTAAAACTGAACGGTTTAATTCGTCGCTCCTCCGATGATCCGACGCACCTCAATTTTTGCATGAGCCCTAGAGAGCATGCATGTTAATGCAAAACAGGGCTCACGTGGAAATTATGATAGGCCCTTATGTCAGAGGTGCGACAAATTAACTGATTGTGAGTGAGCTGATAGACTGCGAGAATGCTCCGTTCGTGCTGATAAGCAAAAAGAGCATGTCGAATTGTCGACATGGCATTGTGTGGCTCTTGCGCAGCAAGTGGTGTTATCGCTTGCTTCTGTGTATTCTTAACGTGTAAGTCGCCGCCTACATTTACAAAGTTATGCAATTTTGTATTCCATAAGAGGAGGTGAGATACGAATCTGGGATCGACATCTACCTTGCATTCTTGACCCTCTTCGTCTGATATTGGATTAGAAGATTAGCAGTGACATTAGAAGGTTGACTGCCCTGTAGGGCCCTAAGCCCTGTATGAACCGATCAAGCAATACTATGCGCATCGTTTCGCCGAAAATTTTGTTTGGGTCATCCACAGCTTAGGTCCACGATCATAACTACTGATCTCAATACTGTAACCTGAAGTATGAAAAACAAGCTAGGTAAGTGCGTTTTTTTCTGGCCAAGAGCAGCACTCACCCACGTCATTAAAGGTTACCCACGTGAAAAATTTTTTTTTCCACCCGGATAAAATATCAGTAGCACGGCGTGAACAATCGATTATCGATATTTCCCTAATTGAAACTATAGTAAAGAATCGATTATTAAGGTATTCGTTACGAGCACCCTGTTTATCTATTCTTTTTCATTGTTTTAAATGGCCGATCAATAGATATATCGCAAATCACGTCACGCCACTGTAAAAAATCAGTAGGTACAAAGCTTGAACTCTCATAACAATGTAATGGATCCGTCGCACGTAAGAGATGGAGTCGTGTGATTACGCTTATAAGCGGTGAAATGCCAGGAAAATTACCATTATCACATTAAAAAAGTCTGCAATTAGTCCTTTGGTGCGCAATGGACTTGTTTCAAACGTCAGATGGAGCAAAAAGAAGAAATATTTTTTTTACAGAATTTGGTCCAGAAAACACGATGAGCGATGGAAGTCTAAAATCCTCTCTATTCTAATAAAATCATTTTTAAGACGCTCGATGGACGGGGTGAGGAAGGGGAGTAAGACGGTCAATGGGCATACTGCCGTGCTAAGGAAGAACGCCGTATGAACCTCCAGGCGTTGCGAAATTTCCTTTGATAAAACACGAATTTCCTGGTAAACTTACGAATATTTTCATCTCAACTTTTCAGATAGTTTTGCTCTCAATTTTACCTAAAACTCCGAGAGATATCGGTAAAATTATTAAACTTTCTCGGTAATTTTACTGGACCTTGGTAAAAACGTCAATATTTTTTATCGACTGTGGTAGAATTACCGAGATAAAATGGCAAGGCACCGGGAATTGATAACCAATAAAAGTGGTATTCTTACCTGAAAAAAAAAACAGTAAAAATACCGGTTTTTAGGTAAGCTTACCAGTCTGTCTTGATGAAATTACCAGTAATTGGTAAAAAAAATTGAGATGGTAAAGGTACCAACGGACCTTGGTAAAAACGCCAATAATTTTTTTTCAGTGCGTAGTATATCATTTTTGAAGTGGGAAGCTTGAAAAAACGCATATTGCCTGCGCATATTGTAAAGTTAGGAGTGTATTTCAGACTATCATCGCTCATCGGGTTTTATGAGCCAAATTCTACGAGAAACAACTCGTCTTTTTGCTTCAGCTGAAGTTGGCAACAGGCCCAGTTGCGAAGTTTGGAACAAGCTTTTTCAAATTTCCCGCGTTTGGGGACAGTTTCCAGTCACTGTATCTGGAAAGAAGTACCGGCAACTCGCGGCAACTTCTGAAGACTTGCGGAAACTGACCATTCTAAGCGATACATTTATCATCATTATAACCTGCAGATCGATGCAATACACTGTAACAGCTTAAGGAATGAACCACTATCAAAGATCACGTTTTGTTTGTAATCAAAGCAATTGAGCAACAGCAACGAATCAATCAGCAACTACTGGCATTTACCGGCAACCACCAAGCCCGCGTTCAGTTGCCGCTTGCTCGATTCCGGTGACTAGAAAACTACCCCCAGACGCGGGAAATTTGAAAAAGCGGGTTCCTAACTACGCCAATTGCGCATGAAAACGTGGATTTCCTATTTTTATAATGTGGCCATCTTGATTTTTGTGCCATATTCCCGTATTAAGTCAATTCACACGTATGTGCAGTTGTGCACTGAGAAAGAACTATAGTTATAATTACCATATTAGTGGTGTTCAATATGCACTCTTAATTAGTAGGGGCGATTACCAATAATAGTGATATTCTTACTGGAGCAATCGTAATTTTACAAGTGTGCCGTAGTAAAATGACCATTTAATGGTAAAAATATCTCTATTATTGGTTTTGGCATCTACTAATTAAGAGTTCATATTGAACACCACTAATATGGTAATTATAACCATAATTTTTTCTCAGTGTGTCTCTTGCGTGCAACAGATCCATTATGCAAATGTATATTTAAAAAAAAATGTTTTCACATCGCAGCGGAGCGCCCTATGACACACAGGATGTCTTCACTCCCCCACTAATGACAAGTACCGCTAGATGAACTTTTAAATGTTGTCAAATGCCCCACGATGAAAAGTGTTTTTGCGAGAAAAGTTATGAATATTTCTATTTTAAATTTTCAGATACCTTAGATCAAATTGCGGGAAGGAAAATTGGAAAAAAAATATTCACACGTGCTTCTTTGACGCAGCAGACAAAAGTTCTTTGACGAGCCACGCCAATAAACGCGCATCATTGCATGAGCTTTCCTTCCGAAAATGTGTTATTGCGAATAGATTTTTTTGAATCATCATTTAGGTTTCCGTTCAGCAAAAAATACTTTGCGTCACCGGATAGAATTGTCACTCGCGTGCTTATTAGTCACCTTGATTACCGCCAAATCACAGCAGTCAACCCTGGGCATCGAGTGCAGATCCACCGCTGCGTGATTGAGACACAAACGTTCGGGGCCATTGTCGGAAATGAAAGGCATCCACGTGTTTTCACTTTTAGTTGTGATGTTGCTCCATATTCAAGGAGGCGAGTCTCGTAAAAGTAAGTTACAACAAACGAACTTTATTTTAGCACATTCTTAGAATTCCACATTAATCATGGGTTATCTCTTGATTCTGTTCCTAATTAATGGAGATGTTGCTTGTGTGAGGAATTTGCGATTTGACAGTTGATTCTCATGCAAAAGTTCGCAAGAAACACGATGGTGCCTCTGGGTTTCTCTAAAATTAACTCCCAAGCTCAAAAAAAGCTTTCAAGTTGAGGCCAAAATGGAGGGGATATCCCACGCTATCCTGAGAGTCCACCTCTACATCAAGACAAACTCTCCATGCAAAGATAGGGAGCAAATACATTGACAGGGCTGCCACTTTATTTGGGGACTCCAAAACTGAAAACACGGCAACCCTGCTAATGTATTTGCTCCCTATCTTTGCATGGAGAGTTTGTCTTGATGTAGAGGTGGACTCTCAGGATAGCGTGGGATATCCCCTCCATTTTGGCCTCAACTTGAGAGCTTTTTTTGAGCTTGGGAGTTAATTTTAGAGAAACCCAGAGGCACCATCGTGTTTCTTGCGAACTTTTACATGAGAATCAACTGTCAAATCGCAAATTCCTCACACCTGCAACATCTACATTAGCCACTTTTTTTTTGCTCTTCGTTGTGTCTCTTATCCTCGCCATTAAAACCATAATTTTTCACAAAATCGGAAACAAAACATATCGACGGTGAAAGTCGGCAATCACATAACTCGTTTGCGGTGTCTGAAAATCTCCGCCTCTACGTCATTTTTTTAAAGGAGAACAAATTGATATTAATTCTTGAAGTTTTTGCAGAATTTTCTTCCCATTGAGAAGAAAAATCATGACAGTTTTAAGAATTGCCGTTGAGTAGTTTTCCATTTAAAAAATAAAGTATGACAGGAAGTCTGCGACGTCGCAAACCGAGTTATGTGATTGCCGACTTTCACCGTCGATATTTTACTAAAAACACTTACATTAATGGTCGCTTTCCGCCTCCAGCTTTCCACGAAAACTCATTAGAATGCATTTTTGTAAGTTTAATTGAAGCAACCACGATCAAAATCACCAATCTCCATTCCGAGGTCGAGTTTAATTCGTTCTTCTGACGGTTTATACACCGCCGGTGAAGCTCCGAAACCACGTATTTCGTTTGCGGAATTTAAAAATCTCCGCTCCTATTATATTTTGTATTCAGAACAAATCAAAATCATTCCTTGAGGTCTTCACTGAATTTTCCTCGCGCAGAGAGGACAAATCACGGATTTTTTTTTTTAAGATTTAGGGTTGAGTAATTTTCTTTGGAATAAAACAAATATCACGAGAAGCCTGCAACTTCGCAAATCGGGATACGTGGTTTGGGAGTTTGACATGCGTTTGACCACTGATTATCCCCGAGAAAGTGGACCCAGGTCCAAAGGAGGCGTTAGCATCTTGAGGAGTTTCCACCCCGTGACGAAGGTCGGTACAACATGACGTCGATATTCCAGCAAAATCCAGAATACGGCGTATGAATAACGGACCACCAAGTCCGATTTTTTTGCTTGAATCGACTCATGATACAATTTCAAACACTTCATGTAGAATGACTTTTTTCCATACACCATTTCCAAAAAAATCGATGATACAAATCGACCATACAGACCTACGTTATCAAAAAAAATCCAAGATGCCCGAAATGCAAACACCTCCTTTTCTTTCTTTATGATGGTTTAGATTATAAGTTTGTCTCTAGAGGTTTTGGATCAGCATTACTCTTTAATAATTCCGTACAACGTAATTTTAAATCATTTAAAAAGGCACGCCTTGTAATAATAATCCAATATAGGGTTCCTTCAATTTTATCTGTGTGCAACACAGATGACTTCGCGAATAGTTGCATCTATGAGTTGTTTTAATAACGCAGTGAGTTTTGATATAATTGGGCGCATCAAACCGGAAAAGTTCAATCCACAGGTAGTTTTGAAAAATAAATTATGTAGAATAATTTATAAGTGGTAACACTATAGGTACGGACGCATGCCGTGAACTTGAGAGATTCGAACTTAAAGCGGCTTTCAGTCACAACTACATTTTTTGAACACTTATCTCAAACCGCTAAAATTACTGTTTGGTTTACCATTTGGGCGTCTTTTAACCCACAACGCGCCGCGCCGCGCCGGTGCGAAACGCGCACAGGCGTCTCCAAACCTGAGGGGATACCTTACGCATTGCGCAATGCTTGAAGTATCTACTTAGGTTTGTAGGCGCCAATGCGCGTTGCGCGCTGGCCGCCCGCCTGCCGCGCCGCGAGCATCTGTGGAATACTCCTTCATTTTGAGGTTTCATGATTTAATTTTTAATTTGTGTGCACGAAGGTCCCTTTTTCCGTCGATGGTTGCATACTTTTGAAGTTATTTTTTGTATCAAATACGCGGTGTCCATTTTGAACGCCGGAAACTTTGAAGATCGACTCTTTGGACAGAAAGAAAACCGCGTATTCACCTCTTTGGTTTCTTTCTGTCTGAGCCATTTGATGATAGAATATATTTTAAGGGCAGTTCCTCCGAACTCTTGTCAGTCAGTGGCGTGGCGTGCTTTACGATATATTGATTGATCGGCCATTTAAATCTATGGAAATGTATCGATAAACAAGGTTTTCGCAGCGAACACCTAAATAATCGATTCTTTATCATAGGTTTAAATGGCATAACAATCGATACATCGAAATTCACACCACGCCATTGCTCTTTTCAGTTTTTATTTTTATCTCTTTTAAAACCCTCAGTTTGAGGATCAATCCGAGGTATTACACTGTTAAAAATTCTGTGCCGGAATCTATTCTCCTTACGGACTGACCTACGGTATGGACCACTAGACAAGGTACGAATTTCAGCATTCTGATACATGTTTCTTAACCAAAATTTCACGTAGAACACGATGCGCACAACGAAAATTACCGAAATCAACTCCTTACGAAGATATTTACTGATTCTTGATGCGTGAATTCAAACCACCCGCTCATGAAAACTCAATATTCTACGTGATTCGCATCGCGCGCTAAACGTTTATCATGACAGTCTCTGCGATATAAAAGTCTGGCAACCTCAATCTTAACGCTTTGGCTCAGCTATAGCAAATTGCTTATAGTTTGAACAACACATGGTGGGAAATGAACATTGCTCGATAGAGAAGATTGCCGAAACCGTTGTAGTGCGCAATTTGACTTACGTAGAGCTTTGAGTTTCTTGTGAGCGGGCAGTTCAAATTTCTCGTAACCAATGTGAAATAAAAACGTTAATATCTTCGTTAGGAGTTGGTTTCAGTAATTTTCGTTGCGCGAGTCGTGTTCTACGTGAAATTCAAATTAAGAAACATGTATCAGAATCCTTTAACTCGTACCTTGTCTAGTGGTCCATTATGGAACGAAAACATCATTTTTGCGGAGTGTTATGCGCTTTCACGATGCTAACTTCAATTCGCATTCCTGTATAAGTGTGTGTGTCGCATTGTGTGGGGTGCTATGTGGACTCCGGTACCGATTCTTACTCCTCATTTCGTCGTTTTCCGGACGAGGGAACGTAACTCCATTCCGAAGTTGCAAAATGAATTCAAAGAATTCAATTTTTTTACAGGAGTGTACCTGTGCAGTTTTAGTTCAAAATGTGTATATTTTTTGATGAGATATCGGAAGAAAAATCGGTGAAATTTTTTGATAGAAATGCCTGAGGTTCTCTTGGTAAAAGAAGCGATTTGTGAGGTGAAATTTGGCTACATTGGGATGTGGTTACGTTCTTTCGTAGGGGAAACAACGATTTTTGAACAGTCTGCTGGTTAAAATTGACAATATTTTTCAAATATCTGATTCCATCTGGGGTCGGTTGACAGAACAATGAAGTTAGATGAATAATTGTCTTTTTGTTTCAGAAAAAGGAGGTTGGTTCTACACTAAACAGGAGGATTGTCAAACTGAGCGATGTGACCCTAAGTACGGGCACTTTAAGGAGAGGGGCACTGAGCACGCTTTACAACGCCTCACTATCGGGCATATTGGCCGTACCGGCATTTGCAGGTGCAAACTATCTGAAGACTTTACAAACTTGGTCAAACGTCTTTACAGCAGGCCCGCATCCTGGTTGAACCGGGCGATCCATTTCGCCGGATTCGGACGGAAAATTAGGAAACTCTATAAAAAAAAAATCGATTTCAGGGAGCATGTTAGCGGTGTATAGATCGTATTCGATACATCAAACGGGTGAGATTGTATCGATATCGATTGGTTAAAAACATAAACATAGCCTCAAAAGTAAATTCAGAAATCTGAGAGAACGGGTCTTTTATAACAGATTTTTTATTCTGTTGAGTACCAAATGCCAATGCAAAGTGAAATTGTCAGGAAATTTCTCATTTTGAGCTTTTCCAACTTAAATCCTTACAGTTTGGTTTGAGGTTATGTTCTAATGTTTTGAGCCAAACGATACATCGAACCGTTATCGAATACGGTCTATTAGTGGAAAAAGTGAAACTATAGAAACGTTCCAGCTCGTAGCTTCGCAAGGTAGCCAGGTTATGCCATCAAATAGAGATATTTAACGTGTGGTTAAAAGGGGAAACCCCTGATTTTTCAGCTCAATCCAGCATCAATGTACAATGTAATTATCAGTCGGCAAACAAACATGTATCTTCCACGAGTAATGGGGCCATAGTTAAGATCTTTGTTCGTTTGTTTTTTTTTTTAAAAGGAAAGAGCTCTTAAGTATAAGTTACAAACGGTAAAGTTCATTTTTTTGTAGATAGATATCATGATACAAGTCATTTAATCTAAAAATGTCGTGCTCTAAACAGGGCAGACCTGAATTTTATATTACTTTTTCTTAAAATTTGTTAACCTGCAGCTTTCAATAAAACGATGTAAAACGTTAAAAACATGTATAATTTATTTATTTCTTCATTAGTATTCTATCTATCTTATCATGCAAGTATTTGTTCTTACCACGCCCAAAAAAATACAGCCGTTCAGAAGTAACGATATTCCCATCGCTGTCCAAAAATCTTTCCGGCCTTAATACTTCAGGATCTCACCATCGTTCCTCGTCATTCAAGATGGAGTGAAGGCTCATTAATACCGTTGTTCCCTGAAACAATTTTTTTACGATTTGTTTACGACGATCAAACACCGGGCGAAAACCGCGATGAAGATTATGCTCTGCGACCATCGTTATATATTCGTGGAAAATCTAGGAAAGACTGGATAGAATCTTGATATTGGTCACCCCTTCTACCTTTTTGCTGCGTGAAGAAAATTATATCAATCAGAAAGAAACGTGATAATTATGGTCATAAGCAACTCGTTCAGAAAATCAGACTCATGTGAGAATCGATCTGCCTGCAGATGCCATTGGGTAGAGTACCTATATTAAGAGAGTAATGGCCACTGGGTCCCATGGAGAGGCTTAGGACCCAATAATGGCGGTGCTTTGTTTTGGTTTTTGAGGATGGGAGGGGGGTCATTGCCAACTTTTGACGGTTATCACCAACCGCACTTGCTGCCAACCTTACTACATCTATATAAGATCATTTTTCTCAAAAATTGCACACGATTAGCCTTAAAAATATGTAAAAAAGTCGCAATAGTGCATTTGGGTAAAGTTCTCGTTACGATAAGCAAAGACAACTACATTTTGAATCATTTTGCATCACATTAACTTTATGGCGTCCGCCATTTTTGGGTCCTAAGGGCTCCATTCAGCCTAAGATGGCTGAGCCAATCAGAGGTGGTAACTCCAGTGGTCATACTCTCTCAATATAGGTACTCTACCATTGAGTATCGAAAGCAATATAAATCATTCATCAATGCTCCAGACCAGACAGTCCTAGCGACAATTCATAGCCCCCTCCAATATGCCAGAATCAATGATATCATCAGTATCGACGTCCTGATCAGCTAATCTCTCAGATTTGCGTGGCTCGCTGTGCAAGGCGCGTAATTCAAAATTTCTTCCTCTTTGACACGACGCGACAAGACGAGTGTTCAATACTGCCGTGCTAAGAAAGAACGCCGTATGAACATTCGAGAGTTGCCAAATTTTCCGTAATAAAATGTTTATTTTTGAGGAAAGCTACGAATATTTTTCCTTGAAATTTTCAGGGGAAGGTGACATTGCGAACGACATTATTTAAAAAATTGAAAGAAAAGTATTTACAAGTTTACCAGAAAATTCGTGTCTTGGAAATTTAAATTTGGCAACGCCTGAAAGTCCATACGGCATTTTTCCTTAGCACGAAAGAATAGTGATGTCTTTTGTAAATATACAATATTCAATTTTCACCCAGACTAGGCGAAATGAATTGTAAGCTCTAGTTCTACATTAGTAGGTACGTAAAACAAATAGTGAAATTTAATAACCTGTAAAGGGTCACGTTTCCTTTTTAAATATTTTTCGTCCCGCACTTAGAGAGAGGACTCCACAATATTTCCTCTCGCATTAGCACCTTTTTACGAAAAGGAGAATGTATTTAGAGTTCAAACTCCAATAATATGAGACGAAAAATATTAAAAGGAGGGTAGCTACCCTTAAAACTTTTTCAATTTTGCTAAAACTTGGGTTTGAAAATTCGAACGTGCATTTTTACAAGGGGTATCCGGTGCCTCCGTGTTAAGTCGCAGTTGCAATATATCGATTGATCTGCCATTTAAACCTATGGAAAAGGATCGATAGACAGGGTGTTCACAACGAACACTTTATTAATCGATTCTTTACCGTAGCTTCAAAGGCAAAACATCGATGATCGATTCACGCCTCGCCACTGAAGCGAATTTAAGTGATCTCTAGGCACGGAAACCACCAACTTCTTTACGTTGCTGCAGAGCCGGTTCCTATGAGGCAATAACTAATGTTGATAAACTAATTTTCTTTAAGAAACTGAATCACAGAGTCTAGAGGCATTGATACATGGACATTAAATTTGTTAAGTGTTATAGAAAAGATGAAAAAGATGAAAAAGTATACCGAAACACGGATATTGTTGAATATTTTGCACAATAACACCGATGACAAAGCACTTTGCGTCCTAGAATCCATCGAAATAAGGCAAGCCATCCTCAATAATAATGTCTTGTTAAACTCCCATTTAGATATACAGAATTGCATTTCTAGCTTACATGATTTATGCATTCAACTAAATCTCTGGCTAAAGCTTGTCTGGACCTCTCTGTATTACTGGTTGCCTAGCTGCGGTAGGTAGCCATGCCCTTCTTTAAAATTAGCGTCTCTCACTCTGTTACTTCATTTTGTTTACTATATTTTCTGCTAACTCTATCAGCTATTTCCACTGGTTTTTTAAACATTTTTTAACATTTTTCATTTTTTGACCAGTTCCCAAGTGTTTTAGTTCGCTTTGCCTCTCGCTATTCCTCTCCATCATGCATTGTGACAATTCATTACTGTAATTAACTTGTTTCTGTGTTTTGTTTTAACTGCTTGCTGAAGATGAGCTAATGCATCCAAGCCAATAAACTTATGCAACAATATGCGTGTTTCGGTATAATTTTTCATCTTTAACATAACAGCACGCGAGATGCGTTTTTCCAGTTATTATGGAAAATGTACTTCGAAAAATAGGAAAAATGACCATGGGAGATTTCGACAATTAGCAAATTGGAGGATGTGTTTATTGGGGTACACTGAGAAAAAACTATGGTTTATAAACCTATTAGAGGTAAATATGGAACACCTATAATAGTCGTAAATAAACTAATGATTCTCGGTCTGTGAACCATACTATGGTCTCTGTACCTAATTAAGGTAGGTGTACCATAACTAAGGTATATGTGCTATTATTATATGTAGAGGTACTACTAGTAGTGGTGTTCCATATTTACCTCTAATAGGTTTATAAGCCATAGTTTTTTCTCAGTGTATATTTTTTTTCTTTTTTTTAAAAAAACCCTTTTTTTAGATGGATCCGTTCACCTTGGTAAAGTCTCATTAGATGAAATGACGCAAAATGGGACCAACATTTTCGGCTCATTCTCTATCATATCCGTAAGTGGTTTCTGAAATGAGCTCAAAAAAATACTGGGTGCGTGATGCCGTCAAATGTAAAAGCTTTCTTTTGAGCTTGGGCCTAGATTTTCCAGGCGCTAGATGCAAACGTGGTTGTCTGTATTTTGTAGCAGAATAAAACATGAATCTTATTTGAAAAATCCACTCAAAGTCATAAATCAATTCAGAAATTGAAACATTTTATTAGAAATGGGCCTGTTGCACCGATTTTTTTTTATTGCTTAAATCGAAAGAGCTAACGCTCCTGATGTCACAGGAATTTTCCTGAAGTTTTTTGATCACCGGAAACCCCCAAAAAATCAACTTAAAAACGCCTCAGAATTTGGATTTTCAAAACGGTCGTTTCGGGTCCGCCATACTTGTGACGTGAAATGATATGACAGACCTGGTTTCTTCATCACTTACAATGTATTTTCCCGTAAGGAAATGGCAGCCGCTTTTCAAATGCAAATATCGAGTCAATCGATAATTTTTTGATCAAAATGGAAAGCAGGAATGGATTCCTCGTACGTTTAAATGGTTAAAACCTTCATTAGATAAATAAGAACCGACGGGATAAACCCTATTTTGAAGGAAGACTGTAGTCAATGGGCGATTGCTTACATCTGCTTAGTGATAACAGACATGGACATTAGCTCAATATTTGGCCATTTTCATGAGTTTTTACTTTTTCGTCACTATTTGAAGGTAAGTTTATTTTGTAAATCAATTGTTTAGTGCCTTAGGATCATGTTAAAAGCTGTAAAGGTATACTTTGTTACTTATTAATTCAGATTACACTCCGGCAGTCCAGCGCTCAAACCATGGATGTTCTCTTAATGCGTGTAAATCATTCTTAACTCTTCAACAAACATCTCAATATTATTCAGAACGTTCCCACGTTTTATTAACTTATGTTATTTTAAAATCCTGTGTGTTTTAAATGTAACACTATACAGAAAAATTTATCGATAAAGTCTGGTAACCGAAGAAGGATCTTACGTCTACTTTCCTTGCCTCCAGCTTAAACATACCGGTCTCCTCATCTCATCAGTATTGTCAAAGGTAAGTTTTTTTAATCATCAATGATTGATACTATCATTTTGGTGTCTTCAGTAAAGCATTAAAGGGTGAAATAGTAAGCAGTAACAACTGACTCGCTATCTAGGTTTGAGCGTTGGACTGCCGGAGTGTGATCTGAATTAATAAGTAACAAAGTATACCTTTACAGCTTTTAACATGATCCTAAGGCACCAAACAATTGATTTACAAAATAAACTTACCTTCAAATAGTGACGAAAAAGTAAAAACTCATGAAAATGGCCAAATATTGAGCTAATGTCCATGTCTGTTATGACTAAGCAGATGTAAACAATCGCCCATTGACTACAGTCTTCCTTCAAAATAGGGTTTATCCCGTCGGTTCTTATTTATCTAATGAAGGTTTTAACCATTTAAACGTACGAGGAATCCATTCCTGCTTTCCATTTTGATCAAAAAATTATCGATTGACTCGATATTTGCATTTGAAAAGCGGCTGCCATTTCCTTACGGGAAAATACATTGTAAGTGATGAAGAAACCAGGTCTGTCATATCATTTCACGTCACAAGCACAGAATACATATGGCTCCACCAATCACAAGTGTGGCGGTTGAAAAACAACCGTTTTGAATGGGTCGGTTCCAAAAACAGCTTTTTTTGAGTTTGAGAGGTCATTTCAAGGTTTTTTAGTAGCGCCATCGTTCTTTTCGTAAAATTTGCCATAAGAATCAGCCATCAATTTGCAAATCCCCGCACCTTGCAACAGGCCCATTGTCATCATGAAAAGTATTTGAAGATATATTTTTGAGTGCTTCCTTCAGCGTGACTTCATCAAAGTAAAAAAATACACATGTATTTCAAACAGGATTTTAATACTTTTATAACATTCAATTTTTAATCCATAGGCTCTCCCTTTATGTGAAGTAACATTTTGAGATCTTTATTTGATTACATAATTTTTAAAAGTTAAACTAACATCTTTATCTTTATTGCACAATCTGAAGAATGTTCTTACCTTGTTTCTTGGTAGAAACTGGGTCAAATAATCTTCGTGCACTGAAACTGGGAATGATATTTGCCGTATAATTACTTTTCAAATATCATACATTCATTTACATTTTAGTGCAGCAGTTTCATTTTTTAAAAAGTTCTTGTTTTCAAATTCCCGCGTTTCCAAATGTTATTGATAACAACAAAAAATTACTGCAATTTTCAGCAGCTCCTTCTTTTGAGATTGAAAAAGATAGAGCAGGTCTCAAAGTAGATAATGCCTTTACATATGAGAGGCTTCATGAATTGTTTCTTATCAACTGTTATTGGAATTAATAAATAAAATAAAGAAATATAATAGATCTACATCGAAAAAAAAGTGAAGTTGATTTAACATTCTGGATGTGAAAAAAGTGTGCGAAAACTTATAAAATGCTGAATTACCCGCCACAGCAGTTATTTTTACATCTTGACATAGCTAAAGTAACTACCGTAACGGGCAATTCAGCATTTTGTAAGTTCTCGCACACTGTTTTTACATTCAGATTGTTAAATCAACTTCACTTTTTTTCGGTGTAATAAATTATCAGAGAGATAAATTGATAAATAAATTAATACCTAATACCTACTAAATTCCACGTGCACATTTATATTTCAACGGGGCAGTTTTTAGTATTGTCTCTTGGTTTCCTCATACTTTTTCGAATACTAAAATATACGTACTCTTAAATATGATAACTGGAGCACCACAGGACACTTTAAAAGCTTTTTTCAAAGCTTTTTTAGAAGATCTTAAAATTACAGAAAAAACATGCTCTCGTCCTTACTACAAAGAATCTCCAAAAAGCACTTGTACTCTTCTTAGGCCTTGTCTCCACGAGTCGTTTCACGAGATTTGTCCTAGGGAAAAATCCCACTTACGAAGTTTGGAAAAATATTGAATTAATCAATATTTTTCCAAGTACCAAGTATGGTCCTTTTACTCCTAGTACCCACTGAGAGAGGAAGAAGAAGTTTAAACGAATTGTGCAATATTTTGTTGATTACTCCATTGTTCATGTTCGTTTTGTTAAAATAATGTGTCTAATTGTCAATTGAGTGCAATTATTATTTTAATCCCGGTTAAATACTCGACTTTAACTAATTTATGTTCCCGCGCAAACTATTCACAGGACTGTACGAGCCCCGTCCCGTGGAGACGGTAACTGGGAAAAATCCCAGAAGTTTACAAATCCCGTGAAAACGTCCCGTGGAGACAAGGCCTTGAAGGGCATTCGATAACGATTAATAGAACTGCAGTAAGTGTCAATACTTAGAGATCCTCATCGCGGTCACCTAACAGAGGACCACTAATTTCCTCATCTTCGGCGTAAAGAAGAATATTTCTCTAGACCAAACTCCGCGGCCAAAACTGGATGGAGGAACCGGCTTCCGGGTTCCGCGATCTGTTTGGAGATTCTGGGCCTCAAGTTCACATGGAACGGTTGTGGGCTGAGGAAGATCCCTGCTACGGGAGTTGTAGGGAGAGGTTTGTCGGGAACAGCCGAAAACTCGAAATGGTAAAGGAGACTAGTGAAAAACTGGAAGATGAAATTCCTTGCCAGCGCCTCTCCAATACACCTCCGCTTACCTGAAATAGTCAATACAGCGTAGGTTCAATCGAATTTAAGGTGGGTTTATAAAAATTTAATCACTAGAACAATTTACTATAGTTCACTGGAAAAAAAGTCGCTTGGATCCAGAGCCTAGACTTTTGAAAAAAATGACAAGAAAAAATACTGTTGATTCAATCGGCTTTTTGCTCCAATCAAAAGAAATCCGCTTAAACTAAGAGTTTTGGTTCTCGATTTAAGCAAAAATCCGATTGAATCAAGAGTAATTTTTCTTGTCAATGTTTTTAAGAGTCTGGGCTCTAGACTCAGGCGACTTTTTTCCCAGTGTTGATCCATTTTTCAATAATTTCTGATATGTATGGTTTTTTTTTTTTTCAAAATCCCGGAGAGTAAAATCATACTGAATTTTTTTACCGAAAATCAATGTTTGCGATGTGCAGTACAGTTCGAATCTTAAGACAATTCTTGCATGACTCTAGCACATGATACAAATGAGGACTGGTAATTTTTTAAAATATTGCTCAAAGTATGCCTTAGGTGAACATCACAAATCGATAGACAGATCTATAGAAAAATCGATTTGCAACACGCATGGGGACACTTGGTGTCACCAAGTCATGAACTTTGTCTTTTTATGCTCCTAAAATAAAAGGAAAAACGTGATTTTAAAAGCGTCAATCGTCTACCATGTCAAAACAAATGAAATATAGGGAAATTCCTCGTTTCCATTCATTGAAATAGTGACGTGAAAATTAAATTGAGGAATTTTATTCAGCCCCCCTCCACAGATAAAATATCTGTGTATACTTATCGATAGCCTATTTTTACCTCGTCCAAAGAAATACAACCGGTCAGAATTGGTAATATTCCCGTCATTGTCTAAAAATCTTTCCGGTCTAAACACCTCCGGATCGCTCCATCGCTTCTTGTCGTTCAGTATAGAGTGGATGCTCATTAATACTGTCGTACCCTGAAAAGATGGGTACAAACATTTTTTTAAAAACACGACAAATAAAAAACACAAAATAAGCTGCGAGAAAGCTGGCATGACTCATCAACGCCTGAACTAATTTATTTTGCCGTGCGTTTCAAAATTTAATAAAATTTTGATTGTGTTCCACCTTCATTGACCTCATTCCGACTGGAGTCCTTTTGTACCCAGAGTTAAGACATCTCGATTATCAGCTGGCCAGGGCTGGCCATGGTGTCACAAAATTGTGCACCCTAACGAACGACATTGAGGGATAAGGGTAAGGAATCCTGCGATGTCTGTCATCCAAAAACAAGAAACATCAACAAAACTGATCATAACCTAACCAAAGATTTTGCAATAAAATAAAATTAGATCGGTTAGTGGATAATTTCTTAATCTATTTTCATTTTGATGCGATGAAAATAACAATTCACTCTTGATAAACCACAATTCGGTTATATTTTCATTATTTTTGTTCACATTCGAGATACCGCCATCTTGGTGCACTCATTTGTGACTCCATAAGGGAGAACCGATCAGAATTGGATTTTTTTTTCGGCCACTTTCAGCCCAGCCAAAAGTGAGATGTCGTAACTCTGGGTATAAAGGGACTCTAATTCCGACAGCTCACCCATTATCCGAGCGAATGCCTCAACTCGCCAAGTCGCTAATGACTAATGTAATTACTCACTAATGGCTCTTCGATGACTCACCAATGCATTTAGCAATTTAACTGCTTAAGTCATCGGTACGTCATCGTTGAACCGTCTGTGCGTCATCGATGAAGATGTGCGCGTTTATTAACACCCTTTGACTTCTAATGGAGTTTTAACTGGTTTTGGCGCGTATACGTAGTATTGGCGCGTATACGTAGTATACCGCCTTTGCGATCGTTTCGAACCCTGCTCGATACAATAACCGAGTCCCTTAGTTCCTTACCGAAAAGTGACTACCGCGAACTTCTGAGATTTTCCAAAGCGTGTAAAAAGTTTATTTATCCGTCAATAATTATGATTTAAAGTTGTTTCTCATTCTGGGGCTCGCTAGTTTATGTGCAGTGAATACCAAGAGTCTACGTTACTTGGTTTTTTTAAAAAAAGCCTGAGAGTACGACGCGCTGATTTAAAATATGCATATAATCATATATACGCGGAAGCAAGCGAAATGATTCGAGGATGGCTGACCAGTTCGGCACTCCTTGAATGAGAATTTCACTCACTCCGTTTTGTTTACAACGTTGCTTTGACATATCTCCACACCAATGTTATCCTTTTCAAAAGTTGGTACTCCTTGCTCTGATAGCCGGGGCCA